CTCCCACATCCCAGATGAGTACGCTAATCCCTGGGCTGAGAGTGATAAAATGGTAGGTTTAGCTGCCACCACCACTATTTTCTGTGGTGTGAGGCAGATGCTGAACTAATTCCCGCAAGAAACTGTTTAGGTGTCTAAGGCACCTAACTCCAGGCAGTAGGTTTCCATTCATGGGTCACAAGCAGAGAGAGGTGCCTCCCTGCAGCCTGGACTTAGGGTCACCTGGGAAGGGCAGGGAAGAGGGCAGGCAAAAAAGCAGTTTGCCCTAAGCTCCACGTTTGAGAGAGGCCCCAAAGCGAGTGGCATTGTGACCTGATGTACAGGGTTGTAGAGCCACTCAAGTTTGGCCCAGCCACCCTCCCCCCCCGAGGAAGGGGCGGCTGGGCCAAACCTGAGCGGCATTATAACACCTGGAGCAGGAGTTGCCTCTGCAGGGCAGGCTTGCTCTCAAACCCTTCCACCCCTCCCCAGGGCCTCCCCTCAGTGTTTTTGCATGCTTGGGGGTTTTTGGGGAGGAAGGGTGGGGGACCCTACAAAACTCTGTGTGGCCCTGGACTTGGGCCACTGTCTGAGAGAGGGGGCAAGCTTAGCACATATCCCTGTGGCCAGTGTCTCCCTTCAGTACCAGATTTACAATGGCACCTCTTCCCCCCGAGACCCTGCCCATTGCTTGGCCCCTGCTTGCTCTTCACCCCCTCCCTCCTTGTGAGTAGCAGGCTGTGCCGGGGCGAGGATGGGGTGGGAGAAGAGGCTGAGTGGGAGCCCGGCCTCAGGGTGGAGCCTCAGGGGAAGGGTCTTGGGGCAAGGCACAGGTGGAGCAGGGCCATGATCCAGGCGCTGGGGCCCACAAAAGATTAATCCATCCCCGTCTTCCTTTGGCTAGCTTGAGCAGTTCCCCGCCCCGTGTGCTAGCTGTTATTGATCTCATTCTAAGGACCCCATTCACCGCATGGGGAGCTGAGCTGCCTAACCAGGCTTTGTGGATTGCAATCTATTCTTGTGATTTTCTAGGAACCTAAAAGTTAGCTCTACCACACTCAGCACTGCAATGCCAAAGGCCTTTTGTGGAGCTGAGCCTTAAGGACTGCGTCCAGAGGGGCAAAGACCCACACTCCTGTTATCTCTTCATTTGTTAAAATGATACAACACAAGTTTAATTAAAAAGTACAGTGCTTCAAAAATCCTTTAAATCTCCTATTTTGAAATGCATCGGTTTCATTTCATGAACATTGACTTTTTTGTTTGAGGTTAGGGCAGGATATTCAGCAGGAAATACCAGCTGACACAAGTACTCTAAACACATCAGTGCAGTAGATTTAACTTACCGTACTTAATTTAACTACAACAAAAACTGGAACTGAAACTTGAACTGTCATTATCATGAGCTCTTAGAGCACGGCGGCACTGACATCATCAGTCCTTTCCCCTATGAAAAGCACACTTTTGCTTCATGTGCTGAACTTTATGCATGGATTAATCAATAGGACTGCATCTGCATAAGTATTTGCAGGCTGGAGGCCCAGTCTGAATTTAGTGACACTGTTGACCTTTGTCTTTATTGATAAACATGCTTCTTTATAACCTGAACAGGAAAAGGGAGACAGTGATATTTAAGTTTATACTGCATTTTGTAGTACCATAACTAGAAGTTGCTGAGTACCCTAATTAGCTTAATCAAACTGATTTCCTCCAATAACGAATATGGTATTAATATTAAGAGAAAAAGCCACTGTTTTTCCCTTGCAAGAGCTCGGCAGCTCATAAATAAAGTATGAGAAAAAACAAAGGGAATAAAACTGTGCCAGCCCGCAAAGTACCTTGAGGTTTATTTACTTGTCAGAAGGATTTTCTAGGTGAAGGAATCTGCTTGCTCACATGAAACAAGAAGAGAAGCAATTTACATGTGCATCATTCATTCTTTCCCATGTAATTTTTCCATTGGGCTATAATTTACTGTCACAAGGCTTGAGAAGGTCAACAGCCGCATACTGAGTAGGTTCTGATTATATCAGTAACTGCGAACAAGTCTTTAACAATTCTTGGTTTTTCACTACTAGAGAGTAAAAGACATGGTAGATAATTAAACCCTTGGAATCAAAGATTTGTCACTTAACATACTTAGAGGAGAAGGCCTGGGTGCTGTATGGTTCTAAGACCAGGTCTACACTACAAACTTATATTAGTATAACTACATCACTCAGGAGTGTGAAAAATTCACACCCTGCAGCAACTTGCTATACCAACCTAATTCCTGGCGTAGACAACACTGTGTTGACGGGGGGGCTTTTCCTGTCAACATAGCTACTGCCTCTTGAGGAGGTGGATTACTACCCCAACAGGAGAAGCTCTCCCATTGGCATAGGAGCGTCTTCACTGAAGCTCTGCAGTGGCGCGGCTGCAGCTTTTGAAACGTAGACCTGCCCTAAGCAACTCGCTACAGCTGTGTGAAGAACAGTTCAACTTGAAGAGAACATTAAAGGAATGTTTCGTGCTTCCGGCTACGTATAAAAAATATATGGATTTGGGTATTTCTGCGTAACCAGCTGTGATACCTTTCTGGTTCTAACCAGAAGAGAAAAAAAAAATCTTACAAATGCCACACGGATTTTTCCCATTTAGTTTGTTGGCTATTAGTGAGAAATACAATTTTCAATAGAGGCTAATGTTTGCAGAAGCCCCCCCCCCCCGCCCCCATCTTCTATATTCCACTTAGAATTTGATCCTACAAGGTGCTGGCAACCTATGCGGACTCCAACTCCCACTGAAGCTAATGAGAGAGAAAAGGATCAGGATTCAGGGCATCGGGCCCTTAAACAAGAGTGCAAAAAGATTTTAGTGGTTTAGTATGAGCATTTATAGAGGGCTTGTTTTGACCCCCATTTCCTTACAGTGACAAGTGGGAATTTGTCTACAAAACCAAGTTCTGGCCTCCGTTATTCCATTGCTTTTCAAGTGCAACTGAGGACAGAACTAAAATGCTTATGTTGAAGTCTGTGTTATATGTCCTTCTGTTCCACACAATCCAAGCTGTAAACCATTTAAAATATGCACTGGCTCATCAATAGCTTCGCCTTTTGTCTTGTCATTAGACATTCATCTGTTTACCACCAAATCCAAAAGAAAAACAAATTACACTTATAGATTTACTGTATGAAAACCAAGGAGCAATAACCATTGTCTTCTGTTTTCCCTACCAATCGCAAAGCAGTATTATCTGACACTAAGTTCAAGTTCCTGGAGAAAACTGAACAAAGCACCCCAGTGACCATCAGTTTCAATCTCCACTCCAGCAAAGGGAGCCACACAGACAGGCCCTAATGCCCCTGAATTGTCCCAGTGAAGTCATGGGTCCTTTGTGGGACTGAGGCCCTAATGACTGCAACTTCAGTTTGCAGAGGTTGTGCACCATGAAAGGCACCAGATACACTTTTCAAATTTTAACAATATAATGGACTGGTGCAATGAAATCACCATCACTGGAGGATCTCGCTGTTACGGTCTATCCCAGCTTCTGGAAGAAACTTACTGAAGGACTTCCTTATGTGCACGCGTGGATTTTTCTTTATGAAGCATTTTACAGGCAAAAGTGACATCAGTGATTTGACAAGAGATTAGTAGGTATATGAATGCATACAGCTACATATATAGCATAGGTATTTCTGTATTTTCCTGAAAGAAAGTTGGCATTTGTACAGACTTGTTTTCATTACAAAACAGGAAGGCTGATTGGTATTGTGGCCAGCTGCTGACTGTGTGTGGTTAAGTGATTTAAGTTTCTTGTTAGCTTCAGTTTTGTTGAGTTTGTGGGCAATTAACTTTTTATTACTTAATTAATTTTATACTGTACAGTATAATAAACCCAAGAGCAGAGGATACATAAGCTTCCCTCAAACACAGCAGGCACCTTGATGGGTGTGCACAGAATAAGAACTTAATTATAAGGGAAGTATCCACATAAGTCTGAAGGAATCCTACTTGAAGGCCAGCATTAAGTGAACATTTCCTGGGAAGCAAGAGTATTGCCAAACCTGTAGCGGCCATGCCTGCTCACAAATGGCTGGTACACTTTGTATTTAGGAATCCCATTAGGGCAGAGGTGGGCAAACTATGGGGGTCAGATGGACCCTCCTGCCTGGCCTCTGAGCTCTCAGCCCAGGAGACTCACCCCCGACCCCTCCCTTGCTGTTCCCCCTTCCCCGCAGCCTCAGCTCACTGCACTGCCGGCACAATGCTCTGGGCGTCGGGGCTGCGAGCTCTTGCCTGGGGCAGCGCAGCTGCAGAGCCCGGCCTGACCTGGTGCTCTGTGCTGCGCGGTGGCATGGCTGACTCCAGCCAGGCGGCACGGCTGCCTATCCTGGTGCTCTGGGCAGCACGGCTGTAGCACGGTCAGCCACCGGTGCTCTAGACAGCGCGTAAGAGGGCAAGTGGGGGGTTGGATAGAAGGCAGGGGAGTTCGGGGAGGTGGTTGGGGCCAGGGTGTGGATAGGGGTCAGGGTGATCAGAAGGCGGGAAATGGGGGGGTTGAATGGGAGCAGGGGTCCCGGGGGGCAGTCAGGAAGGAGAGGAGGGGTTGGATGGTCTGCAGGAGGCAGTCAGGGGTGAATGGGGCAGGAGTCCCGGGGGGGCTATCAGGGGGTGAGCAGGGAGGGCCACACCTGGTTGTTTGGCACAGCCCCCCCAACCAGCCCTCCATACAATTTTGGAAACCCAATGTGGCCCTCAAGCCAAAAAGTTTGCCTGCTCCTGCACTAGAATTCTTTGTGAGCGTGGGAGTAAAGAATGGATCCAATAAGAGTGGAGTCTTTAATTGTAATTTAATACTTACTTATTTTGCACAGCCTAGGGCCTTTTTCCTTGCTTTGTTTCTCACTTTTTAACCCTTGCCTATTTTTCCTAGTATAAATACGGAACCCTTTCAGCACCCTCAAGATTAGTACATTTATGTTATCGTCAAACAGCAGCACATAAAAATTCTTATTCTTAATTATTCCTATTTGTAGGAGTTACAGTCAGAAATAAATACTGCTCAGCTGGAACTTGGAAAGAAAGAGAACAGCACCAAGTTGTTTGATGCAGAAAATCAAGCCATGCATAAACATCTGCAAACTCTATCAGGTAGTAAAGGATGATTCCCATGTGTGGTACTTATCCAATAGCTCATCCTAGAGAAAAATACATACCTATCCTGGACAAATTATGTATATGAATGAATATGTTAAATAAAATAGGATGAAGTGGAAATACCAGAGGGTTATTTTGGAATATTTGAAAGTAGTCTGTCATAGAAAAAGCTTTCACAAAAACCAAAATTGTACTAGATGTGTACAGAAGGAAAAAGGCAAGGCATCTAATCAAACACATGACAGCTAGTGAGCATAACAAACAATATTGCCTTGGCTATACCAGGAGATCTATCTGTCTCTGGTAACAGGTGCAGTTGAGCTGGTGTGGAAAATGTTGTAACCACAGATACAGACAATTAACCCACGATTAGCACCATTTTTAGAGACCACAGTTAAAAGCAGCAGCTATTTCCATTTCATCATGCTGATTACTTTTATTTAGTAACTGGAGATTTTAACTACTTCCAGTTAAGTGTGTTGAGCACCAGCTAAGTTCAGCCATTTGCGGACATGTGTTGTCTGCAATGGGTACATGTTCTCACTGCTGACAAGCCTTTTGGAGAAAGGGGTGAAGGATAAGGAATAGAATCTCATGGTTACTTGGTTTTGGCACATGCATATCTTGCTGGTTCCATATACCTCCTTGGCCAGACTGATGAAGTTTGCTGTCTTCTTTTAGGTAATATGAAAGAGGATTTTTAGGAGGGATTTTAATAAGAAGAGTGGCAGTTTGAGAGTTCATTCCATGCATAAGAGAAATAGTTCATTACAGTCTTAATAGTGACTATGTTTTTTTAAAAAAGTAACGGTGGTGATGGTTAAATTATTATTTAACACAGTCTATAGCAGTGGTTCTCAAACTTTTGTACACACAGCAAGCCTCTGAGTGCAACCCCCCTTATAAATTAAAAACACTTTTTAATATATTTAACGCCATTATAAATGCTGGAGGCAAAGTGGGGTTTAGGGTGGGGGCTGACAGCTCACGACCCCCCATGTAATAACCTCATGACCCCCCAAAGGGGTCCCAACCCCCAGTTTGAGAACCCCTGGTCTATAGTATGTCATAGTAAAACAGGCCCATTCTAGATCGAAACGCTCTGTAATCTTCTGGTTTTTTAACCACTAGTCCCTTGAGCATCCCACTAAGCAGTTTCAGAACTCAGTGTGCAGACTGAAAGGATACGGATTTTAGTTTATGGAACTAGCATCTGAAAGACTGGTGATTTCACACAGATGCCAATACTAGAGAAAAGCTATTATTAATGGAGGATGTTATAAAGCTGAAGAATCTTGCTGAGATTGTCATTCAGGACATTTCACACAAAGAAGCAGAACTACTAGGAGTCCAGCAAGAGCTACAGAGGGCCATGAATTCCATAAAAGAAAGAGAGCATAATCTCCATCATTTGGAAAACCAAGTAAGTAATAGCTAAATACCCCTTTTCATAATTAAATGTATACATCAGACTCTCAGATGTTTAGACGTTAGAAATGGGGAATATCTGTTAAATCATCCAATCCACTCCTGCAGGATGGTCCCCCCACCCCATCTGGCCTACTTTGAAAGTACTTGTAGGAGGGCAAGCTTTCACCATTCCCTTTCAAAGACATCCACACAGTATAATTAGATCTAAATTTCTTACTATCGGAATATTTCCCCCAAATATCAAAGTCTTAGTGTACACTTGAAAGTGTCAAGGAACACCCAAAACTTTGACAATCGGGAGTTGAGATCATCATGAGCATCATCTCAGGAGGACTTCAAAGCCTGCTGGACAGTTCTCCAGATAATAGACAGACAATCAGAATTTCAGCATCTAAGTCTCTGTGCACTAAATCCTGCTGGAGGGGAAGGGATAGCTCAGTGGTTTGAGCATTGACCTGTGAAACCCAGGGTCGTGAGTTCAATCTTTGAGGGGGCCATTTAGGGATCTGGGGCAAAAATTGGGGATTGGTCCTGCTTTGAGCAAAGGGGTTGGACTAGATGACCTCCTGAGGTCCTTTCCAACCCTGATATTCTATATTCTAACAGTTTGGCATAATCAAAGACGTGCAGACTGTGTCCATCAGCTTCCTTGATTTTTAGTCTTTATGGCCACGATTCAGCAAAGCCCTTAAACCACATGCTTAATTTTAAGTATGCATATAAGGGATTTGAATCAGGGTCCATATGCTGAAGTCAACAACTTCACAGTGTAGGTCTGCTTCTGGTTAATCAGGATTCAGGTCAGACAGACTGGATTTAATCAAGAGTTCTAAAAATTAGAGTGAAGAATTTGGAATGAAATAAGGTCTCCCTTATCTAGCAGTTATTTAGGAATCTTTAGATGCAGAGAGTAACCCTGAGAGCAGGGACTCTGTACTAGTACACAAACAAAAAGAAAAAACAAACAAAATAAAGGAAAGTTTGGCCACATAGACACGATAGCTAGATAAAGAGCCACATTAGAATTGGATTAGTCACTTAGTCTGGATTACCTTGATTATTTAAGTTAGGGCTAATTCATATGGGAGTTTTAAATGGTCATTGTTAGGCTTAAGTGTTAACATCACATTAAATACAAGTGAGACAGCTCACAGCTTTTATGCTGCCTGTTTGCAGACTCCTGCAATGGTTCATGTGGAGGATTTGTTCATTTTTTTGTTAAAATGTTTAGATTTTGAAGCATACTTCTGCATCAGATTCCGCAGCTGTAGAAAATGAGTCGCTACCTCTACTCCCACACTATACAGATCTGCCCATATAAAAGTCACAACACGGAGTAACAATCCACAATATTTATTGACAATTCCCGGGCAGACATTTCTCTCAACCATTTGAAATTGGGTCAGTTTACATTTAAAAAAATAATACTATTCACCCTTCAAGTGAAGTCACTGGAAACGAATAGCCACGTACGCTACACCAATACTCAGAAATTCATAGATTTTCAAGTCAAATTCTAGTCTGACTCTTGCCTAATTCAGGTGATAGAATTTCACCAAGGGTTTTCTATATAATTTCTGGTTCAGCTAGACCCTACCTTTTAGAAAGATATCCAACCTTGATTTATGTCTTCATGTGATGGAGAATCCACTACATCGTTAAGTTGTTCCAATGGCTAATTACCCTCCTTGTAAAAGATTACGCCTTGTTTCTAGTCTGAATTTGAGCCTCAGCTTTCAGCCATTGGATCTTGTTCTGCCTTTGTCTGCCAAATTAAACAGGCCTCTACTCTCTTCCTGCTGAATTGCAGGTCTGTCATTGACAGTCCAGAACACAAAATCCAATGACTTGCTGTAATTTAGCTAAACTTCAGTGAATAGCTAAATGGGGAAAGTGGTCTGTTAGCTGCTGCCAACCACCAACCATGAAGGATAGAGATGCTTGGGGGGAGGGGGGAGAAAAGGAAAAACAATTAACAAAAGTCTTTGCAAAAGGATTATTCCCATTCTTAATGAAAAGATTTTTTGAACATTTTTGTATTGCAAACATAAGTGTCCTGCCACACTTTTTTTAAACATTTCTTATCAGTGAACTGAAAGCTCTTTAGAACACCTCATTTGTGGCTGTCCCGTGCAAGCTGGTTGTTGGCTTCACTTTGCCACAGTTCACTTATGGATTGCTACCTGCAGTTTGGAATATCACAATACTGCATTTCATTTCATAGGACATGACACAAAATGCTGTTGCTAAGGAATTACATGAGTGTATGTGCCATTACATTTTTAGGGAATATTGTTTGGGAAAAATCCATTGTGGCACAATTCCCCATATTACTTATCTTGGTTTTCTGCTGCAAAAAATTGTTTCATATAGTTAGACAAGAGCTGAGAGAAATGTTTTTTAATTTTTTACCTATTCTGTCAAAGTTCAGGAAGTTCTGATCAGCATCAATTTAAACTCAGGATAATATTTAGTCTATATTCAAGTGTGGGAGGAAAAACTAAACTATTATTTCTGGCTTCCCAGTAGCAGAGAACACACAAAATGTAACAACCCACCCCACACATACAGATGGCTCTAGTTTTTGCCTGAATACTATTCTTATACAGGGGAAGTGTGGGTCTGGGAATATACAATCCTTTCTCAGCCACAATCCCAGCAACCAGATAAACAGGAAAAGAGATTAAAATGAGTTATTTTGAGTTATTTCACCAAATTCAGTTTTGTTGTAAATACCTGCAGCCTTACTGAAGTCCATAGATATCTACCTGTATAAAGCTTACGCCAGAGAGTTAAAATTGACCCTGTCTGTCTAGAGAGCACAGAAATCTGTCAGTGCTTCTTCTCAATTTCACCCTTAGGAGATACAAAGATGGTTCTAAAACAGCACTCAATTTAAATATATGTTTGAGAAAAAACTGGATAATATGTTGCTTCTGAACACCATGTGAAATACAGAGACACTCCTTTAGGTACACAGATTTATCAAAACTGTTGAATGAGCTTGCACCTGCAGAGGGGGCATAGCTGAGGCTATTTCATATACTGTCTTGGTGCAGGATGTTATCCATTTGGAGATTGTCTGTGAAGAGACCGTTTGACCCTTCATATGGTCCACATATGACAAACACAAACCAGGCAAAGCACAAAACGGTTTAGTCCTGTCCAGATAAAAGGCTAGCCTTTGCCTGACATTTAAGGTATGGAGACGCTGCTTCTCTGGAGATGAAGGTAGCTTAGGAAAAAACACAGGTAAATATACCGCCTGGTTCAAATGAAACAAAGACAATGGGATTTGGGTACCCAACTCCCTTAGGGCCTCTGAAAATCTCCTCTGGAGGCTTCTGTAAAACAGGAGGAAGAGGAAAAATGGCAAACCTAAACTGTTCTCTATCCCAATACTAAGATAAGGAGGAGACATCATGGTTCTTCAAGATGCTCAGACTTTACAACTACAGCAGAGAGCTCACGGTCAGCACACAGCAGTGGAGAACAGACATTTACACTAGCAGAGGCCCCATTTCTGTCGGGCATTCAGCACCCTATCTAGAACACTTCTCAAGTGGGGAATACTGCTTTTGCACTTAGTGTGATTTCCATAAGGGAATCTCAAAGTACTTTGATGAATACGAGCCTCACACTACCCTGTGAAGTAGAATAGTTAAGTATTATCCCCATTGGAGAAATGAAAATGGTCTAGCAAACCCTAGAGCAGTGGTTCTCAGCCTTCCCCATACCATGACCCCCATGTTAGTATAGAAGAGTGTTTTGTGACCCTCTTGCACGTAACGATTAAAAGAAAAGGATGATCTGTCCATGATCCACAGCATCGGTGGCCTACAGAGTGCTCACAGCTGGAGCTAACAGAACTATTCGGAGAGCCCCTTTTCCTTCCCAGAAATAGGGCCGGTGCTTCCAACATTACGGTAAAGGGGACAAAATTGGGAAAGGCAGGTTTCCATGCTCACGGAGTCTTTAATCTCTACATGGTTATGTTCAGCTCCACCGGCAGATTCAGCAACACCAGAGTATGGAAGCAAAGCTTGTGGAAAATAGATCAGAATGCGTAAGAGTGCAGGCGTTGCTTCTCCAGCTGGAGGAGAAATACTTCACTAGCTCCCAGTCCATGGAGCAGCATATTGCTAAAGAACTTCGGTAGGGACATCTGCAATTCTACATCAGAGCTTGTGATTTACTTATTTCAGTAGCTAATTTGGGGGGGGGGGGCATTCTTTGGAGGCACTGAGCATCTGGAATTTCCAGTGGCAACAGGGCCCTTGGTGCTAGTAAAACTGACATAATGGAACATGTGGAGAGCATGTTATATTTGGGGGCATTTTAAAAAAAAGTGAATTTGGCATTCAAGACAATTTTATAATAGTGTCAATAAAAACCTGTGTTTATCCAGGCATAGCATCACCCAGAACAATTTAAGCTTCCCCACATTGACTTCATAGGAGTGTGAGGAAAGTCGCCTATTCTTTATATTGAGACTCTCATGGAGTTGTAAATTATGGTGGCGGTTTGGGCAATATGGGCACATGAGGTATATCTGAGGCATGAGATGGAGACTATCCATGTGTCTCCCTGGCTTAGTCCCAGAAGAGCTAGGCTTCCACCAAACAGCAAGTAACTTCCTGATATATGGGGCTGATGTTATGACCGTCTCTACAGTGGTCAGTTCCAGAGAATACGGGCCCCCGTTTGTTGTCTTCAATCCTGGGAAGACTGAGGTTTGTATACGGGAGATAGGAAGCTCACTCTTCTCTATTGTGTCCTCATGTGTTGGATTTGTTTGGAGTGAATCCGATTAAGAATCTTGGTGTCACTTGCTCTGATTCTGTTGTACAACTCCAAGATGCTTTGGCTAGAGGGATTCATGAGGGTGGTGCGCGGATATCATTTATTTCAGATGGTAAATGATCTTATTAAATGGCCAGAGACATTCTATCATGGCAATTCTTGACCACCACCAGACTGGTTCAAATTGAGAAAGTAAAAGGTGGTGGCTTTTTTTTTTAAACTAATCTTTTAATCAAGCTTAGAATTGGACCCTGTAGGTCTGAGAACAGCAGCACAAGAGGCAGGACAGCTCAGGAACAGTATAAATGGATTAGAAAAACAAGCTGGTCTTTTTACAAACATTACCAAAGCATCAAATCAACCCATGAGGCACAAGTTAGTCTTACAAAAATTGTAGTCCTACAAACAGAAAAGTCTATGAACTGCAAACTGCCTATCCTTTTCCACAGAAAATGGGATCACTGCAATTTAGATCAAACTTTAAAGTCAGTAAAAATACTACAGGAAGATTGCTCCTTATAAAATGTAATCAGCAATATTGGATTTGGGGCTAAAGTTGGAACTATTTTTATTTAGTGAGGAAGCTGAAAAACTACGACAGCAGCTCAAAGAAAAAGAACTTTCTGCTGATGAGGATAAATATTTACGTAACAAAATGGCAGAAGACTGTGGATATCTGACAAAACAAAATGGCCTCTTACAGTCTCAAGTTCTGGAAGCCACCAGGCAGCTGGATAGAGTAAGTTGTTGTTTTTTTTTTTTTTTTATGGTTTATTTTAAATAAGGCCATGGGGGGGCATGGATCAGCATTCATGTTGTACTCCCTGTCAGTACCCAGCCCAAGCCGGGGAAACTAAAGATCCAACCAGAGCACCAAATTCGTGATGCATCCTGGTCACATGCTACCCGAGGCACATTACACGTACAGGTTTCAGAGTAGCAGCCGTGTTAGTCTGTATTCGCAAAAAGAAAAGGAGGACTTGTGGCACCTTAGAGACTAACAAATTTATTTGAGCATAAGCTTCCATGAGCTACAGCTCACTTCATCAGATGCATTACACATACACTAGAAGAAAGCCATTCAACAGCAAGTAGAAGACAATGACTACCCTTACAGTTTTAAGAACTGTTTTTTAAAAAGTCTTTTAAAAAAGTCTTTGTACATCTTGTGGCTTTTAAATCAGCTGGACCCAATAAGCATAACCCTCCTTCCTGGAGTTGCTACGCTGCAGATGTGTTTTCCCTCCACAACTATACATTGTGCTACTTTGTACTATGCTCACTAGTACTGAAGTTGTGCATAGCAGTCTCACTTGGGACAGGGTGTTGGATTATTCCCTGCAAGACCTTTTTCCAACTAGAAAAGGAGTACTTGTGGCACCTTAGAGACTAACCAATTTATTTGAGCATGAGCTTTCGTGAGCTACAGCTCACTTCATCGGATGCATACCGTGGAAACTGCAGCAGACTTTATATACACACAGAGAACATGAAACAATACCTCCTCCCACCCCACAGTCCTGCTGGTAATAGCTTATCTAAAGTGATCATCAAGTTGGGTCATTTCCTGCACAAATCCAGGTTCTCTCACCCCCCTCCAGAAAACACACACACAAACTCACTCTCCTGCTGGTAATAGCTCATCCAAAGTGACCACTCTCCCTACAATGTGCATGATAATCAAGGTGGGCCATTTCCAGCACAAATCCAGGTTTACTCACCCCCCACCCCCATACACACACAAACTCACTCTCCTGCTGGTAATAGCTCATCCAAAGTGACCACTCTCCCTACAATGTCCATGGTAATCAAGGTGGGCCATGTCCAGCACAAATCCAGGCTCTCTCACCCCCCCCCTTTTTTTTCCCGGGGACACACACACATACACACAAACTCACTCTCCTGCTGGCAATAGCTCATCCAAACTGACCACTCTCCAAGTTTAAATCCAAGTTTAACCAGAACGTCTGGGGGGGGGGGGGAGGAGGAAAAAACAAGGGGAAATAGGCTACCTTGCATAATGACTTAGCCACTCCCAGTCTCTATTTAAGCCTAAATTAATAGTATCCAATTTGCAAATGAATTCCAATTCAGCAGTTTCTCGCTGGAGTCTGGATTTGAAGTTTTTTTGTTTTAAGATAGCAACCTTCATGTCTGTGATTGCGTGACCGGAGAGATTGAAGTGTTCTCCGACTCGTTTATGAATGTTATAATTCTTGACATCTGATTTGTGTCCATTTATTCTTTTACGTAGAGACTGTCCAGTTTGACCAATGTAAATGGCAGAGGGGCATTGCTGGCACATGATGGCATATATCACATTGGTGGATGTGCAGGTGAACGAGCCTCTGATAGTGTGGCTGATGTTGTTAGGCCCTGTGATGGTGTCCCCTGAATAGATATGTGGGCACAGTTGGCAACGGGCTTTGTTGCAAGGATAAGTTCCTGGGTTAGTGGTTCTGTTGTGTGGTATGTGGTTGCTGGTGAGTATTTGCTTCAGGTTGCGGGGCTGTCTGTAGGCATACTCCTTTTCTTTTTGCGAATACAGACTAACACGGCTGTTACTCTGAAACCTTTTCCAACTAGGATTCCCCAAAACTCAGTTTGACTCCAGATTTCCTTCCTTAGGAATCTTTAGGTGGCATACAGCAAAACTACAGAATTGATCAGACTGAAGTGTAGGGGGTGGATATAGTGCGAACCACACATCCAGAGTTACTCAGAAAACCTCTTCCTTTGTATACATTTACACATTACATTGCATCATAGGTTTTGCGATTGGCTTGGTTACTTTGTAGGAACCAATCCCCGTACAGCAGTGATTCTCAACCTGCAGCCCAATCTGCACAGAGCTGCGGCCCATGTGAAATCCTCAGGGCCATACAGGTAGTATTGGATGCAGCCTACAACGGTAAATAGGTTGAGAAGGGAAAGTTACTCACCTTGTGCAGTAACTGAGGTTCTACGAGATGTGTCCCCCTGTGGGTGCTCCACTCCAGGTAATGGTGCATCCCTGCGCCTTCGCTCAGAGTTTTGCAGCTGTTGGCACTTGAAGTATAGCATGTGCAACCGGGAGCACTCAGTTCCTTCTCAACCACCCCCGGCCTGAGACGGAGCTCAGCAGTCCCGCTGAAAAACTCTCATTTGTTAGATAAGTCTTAGATAGTTAGAAAGTTTAGTATTTAGGCTTCAGTTTAGCTTTGCCTGTTTAAAAAAAAAAATGTTTTTCCTTAGCTTTCCCCATAGCAAGTTTATTTCGGAATGCCTGATTTGCTGGGTTTTAAAAGATGTTCGACCTGCAGAGAGGCGATCCCAGTCTGATGGGCACACTCAGTGTGTCCGGGAGAATCTCATGTTCCCCCGAAATGTGCCCATTGCTCTTAATTAAAAGCTAGGGCACGAAGAGATAGGGCCTGGAGGCTGAAACTTATACTACTGAAAAAATCATTGAGACCAGCCTCCAACCCGAGACAAGAAGGACTTTCCTGACAAAGGTTCGCAGTCCCTTCATCACCGAGGTCCCCAAAATCTAAGAAGCCAGTTAAAAAACGGCCAGCTTCACCACCTCAATGAGAGCAGACCAAAAAAACCCAGTCACCTGCTAGATCGCTCTCAGCGGCGTCGACTGCACAGAGCACTTATGATGCTCCGGGCATCTCCGGTAAATAGGTTTTTTTTTTGGTAAATGGTAAATAGGTTGAGAACCACTTGCTGTACAGCATGCTGTATCCATGCACTCTTCATGTATAACCTGATCTTCACATTTGGGTTTATCTCATCCATTGTCCCAAGCACCACGGTGCTTCCTCCTTATCTTAGCTAGCACAGACATTCTGATTCCAGCATACGCCCTATCAAGTCCCTATTTACTATGTAACCTTCCATTCACCTTCCCAATCATGCCCACTAAGAAATGAGGCCAGTTACTTATGTCAAAGCCAGGCCTACATTTCCACTCCTTTTATTTTCTTGGTTTTTATGTTAGTATTTGTTTCATTCATATCTTACTCCATTCTCTGTGCTTTTTCACGTTTACCAACCAGCAACACATCTGCAAGACCACAGTAGTTGTGATCATTTGACCCACCATTAATTTTAGGCTCAAAGTACAAACTGGGGGTGCAATCACACATTCTCTGGCAGACTCCCCAGGGTGTAATCCCACCTAATAAACTTTGTCTTTAAAGTATCCTTTGGTAATTTTAACATTGCTTTTATTTTAAAAACATTATGAAAATATGGTACAATATATACAAAATCTTTCCATTTATCACCACAGGAAATTTAGATGTGAAACAGAGTATAGACCAGTTAAAATAACATTCTCTGAGTCCATACCAGGTGGGGGCCTCTTCAGCCACCACACAATACTGGTCATCACCAGCATAGGCAGTTTTTACTTTACCAACATCCCTGTGTGTCAGCCACACTGTACAATTTGGAGGCCGTTTCCTCCAAAGTGAACCCACATGGCAGCAACTATGTCTGTAAGATGTTGCACCTGCACATATGAAAGTGTCCCCCATGTGCAAACAGCCGTACAATTCTGGGACTATCCAGACCTTGCATTGTCTTACACCAGTACTTGAGAAGGGAAAAAAACTTCTTCCACACCATAGTTGTAGTGCTTTCCAAAATACTTTCACTGGAAATACTGTGACCAATGTTCCATCCACCCCCAAACTTCATGGTATTGGACCCTCGTTAGTTTTCTTAACCTGTACCAATTAGTATTGCCTCCCTTGTATGAAATTTTTAACTTTTCTGTGGTGATATAGAACAAAGAAGGTTGCCTCTTGTCACTTAAGGTCTTAACTACTTTACATAGCGTAACCCATATACTGCATGTAATTGGTTTTGATTTTTACCTTTCATGATAGGAAATTAACTATCTTGTATATTAAAAAATATTTTAACTATTTAATATGTACCATGTTGTAAAACTTATCAATAAATTCTTTGCTTTGTTGATTTTCAAAACACAATACTTTAGATGCTAATTCTGGCTGAAACACTTGCTCATGTAATGGCTGTAGTACGTCTGCTGACTTCTGTTGAACTGTTTGGTTCCCACATCATCTCTGCCAGCTTGGTTTCAGAGCAACATACCAATCCCAGTCAGACTAGCTTCCATGTCAAGCTCCCTCTAGTTTCATTGTTGCCCCACCTTGGCAGGCTTATGCATTTTTAAAAAGTTTACTTTTTGGTCCATGAAGTCCTTTCAATAGTTTTTAATAATTTTGACCAAACCCCAGTGACTGCAGATTGGTGAAATTCAACAACACTTGGCACATTCATAAACTGATCATTGAACAATATTTCTTTAATAGATTTAATGCGAAGCTGTTAGCTAAATTTGTTTCAAATCTAGGGCATTTCAATCTTTTATATAATTGATTAGTTTTAATATATTCTTTATTCTATTTAATTATTCTTCCTCCATTTACAACACATCACATAGGTTTTTACTTCCTAACCACATTTACATTATACTGCAGTTAAACAAAACTTTTGCATAACAGTGTTAATGGTTAAGCTTCATTTCTTATATGCACTGATCTTGGTGCTGGGTTAGAGTCTGCTTCCAAAGTGCACAGCCATCTGAAAAAGAAAAAACAACCTTTGGTGGTTCCTCTTTGGAGCCTCCATAGGATTTTAATTAAAGAGAATGTTTTTACATTTGTTTTACCCCTTTTATGATACACACTACATGTTCCAAGGGAATGCACCTTCCTTCCATAAGGCAACCGTTTGCCTTTATTTGCCATGAAATCATAGGACTGGAAGGGACCTCGAGAGGTCATCTAGTCCAGTGGCCTACACTCATGGCAGGACTAAGTATTATCAAGACCATAATGGAGATTCCACAACCTCCTTAGACAATTTATTGAATGAAGAATGCACTATAAGGTGGGTAGAAAGCTGGCTAGATTGTCGGGCTCAACGGGTAGTGATCAATGGCTCCATGTCTAGTTGGCAGCCGGTATCAAGTGGAGTGCCCCAAGGGTCGGTCCTGGGGCCGGTTTTGTTCAATATCTTCATAAATGATCTGGAGGATGGTGTGGATTGCACTCTCAGCAAATTTGCGGATGATACTAAACTGGGAGGAGTGGTAGATACGCTGGAGGGGAGGGATAGGATACAGAAGGACCTAGACAAATTGGAGGATTGGGCCAAAAGAAATCTGATGAGGTTCAATAAGGATAAGTGCAGGGTCCTGCACTTAGGACGGAAGAACCCAATGCACAGCTACAGACTAGGGACCGAATGGCTAGGCAGCAGTTCTGCGGAAAAGGACCTAGGGGTGACAGTGGACGAGAAGCTGGATATGAGTCAGCAGTGTGCCCTTGTTGCCAAGAAGGCCAATGGCATTTTGGGATGTATAAGTAGGGGCATAGCGAGCAGATCGAGGGACGTGATCGTTCCCCTCTATTCGACATTGGTGAGGCCTCAGCTGGAGTACTGTGTCCAGTTTTGGGCCCCACACTTCAAGAAGGATGTGGATAAATTGGAGAGAGTCCAGCGAAGGGCAACAAAAATGATTAGGGGTCTGGAACACATGACTTATGAGGAGAGGCTGAGGGAGCTGGGATTGTTTAGCCTGCAGAAGAGAAGAATGAGGGGGATTTGATAGCTGCTTTCAACTACCTGAAAGGGGGTTCCAAAGAGGATGGCTCTAGACTGTTCTCAATGGTAGCAGATGACAGAACGAGGAGTAATGGTCTCAAGTTGCAGTGGGGGAGGTTTAGATTGGATATTAGGAAAAACTTTTTCACTAAGAGGGTGGTGAAACACTGGAATGCGTTACCTAGGGAGGTGGTAGAATCTCCTTCCTTAGAGGTTTTTAAGGTCAGGCTTGACAAAGCCCTGGCTGGGATGATTTGACTGGGAATTGGTCCTGCTTCGAGCAGGGGGTTGGACTAGATGACCTTCTGGGGTCCCTTCCAACCCTTATATTCTATGATTCTATTCCAGTGATTAACCACTCTGACAGTTAGGAAGTTTTTCTTAAGGTCCAACCTAACCCTCCCTTGCTGCAATTTAAGCCCATTGCTTCTTAGATTCATAGATACTAAGGTCAGAAGGGACCGTTATGATCTAGTCTGACCTCCTGCACAACGCAGGCCACAGAATTTCACCCACCCACTGCTGCGAAAAACCTCTCACCTATGTCTGAGCTATTGAAGTGAGCTCAAATCGTGGTTTAAAGACTTCGAGGAGCAGAGAATCCTCCAGCAAGTGACCCGTGCCCCATGCTACAGAGGAAGGCGAAAAACCTCCAGGGCTTCTTCCAATCTGCCCTGGAGGAAAACTTCTTCCCAACCGCAAATATAGCGATCAGCTAAACCCTGGGCATGTGGGCAAGATTCACTAGCTAGATACCCAGGAAAGAATTTTCTGTAGAACTCAGATCCCACCCCATCTAACATCCCATCACAGGCCATTGGGCCTATTTACCATGAATATTTAAAGATCAATTACCAAAATCATGTTATCCCATCATAGCATCTCCTCCATAAACTTATTGAGTTTAATCTTAAAGCCAGATAGGTCTTTTGCCCCTGCTGCTTCCCTTGGAAGACTCTTCCAAAACTTCACTCCTCTGATGGTCCTATCCTCAGAGATTAACAACAATTCTTCTCCCTCCTCCTTGTAACAAGCTTTTATGTACTTGAAATGTGTTATGTTTCTCCCAGCCCCCCACCCCCCGATCTTCTTTTCCAGACTAAACAAACCCAATTTTTCAATCTTCTCTCATAGGTCATGTTTTCTAGACCTTTAATCATTTCCATTGCTCTTCTCTGGACTTTCTCCAATTTGTCTGTCATGTTAGCCATATTAATTTTCCCATGAAGTATAACTGTTTTTGGGCTTAAAGAGTTTCCATGTATCCCTATCAAAGTAATTGTCTAAGTACTCAGAGCCACCTTAAGGCACAGTGTCCCTAACATTGCTACTCTTATGACCACCACCTCATCTTGCTGGTACTCCAGAGGTGCACTCGCTCTAATTTTTCATTCTTGTCCTGCAGCTCTTTCAGCTGCTATTTCATTACTACAAAAGGATCCAGAGTCTGGTTCTAGTCATCCCTGCCATAGCCACAACCATGTCCGCTAATGACTAGTCCTTATTTTAAAAGATGTTGAACTTCATAAAAACATTGAGGTAACAAAGCCAGATAACATCAGCTACGTGTGTTTGACTTGAGGGGGAAAAGAATTAAATTTAGCAAAGACTGCCAGGAAACACTGGCAGCTATTCAAAAAGGATCAGTTTGGCAACTCTGAACACAAGATTCAAATGGATTTTTAGTGGAACCTTTTAAAAAGCCAATTATTTTTCAACATACAAAATGGGGGTTTACAAGCCAAGAGTGTTTCTTTAAAATCTTGCACAATTACAGAAATTTTGTTCAACACTCCTTGTGTTGCTCTAATAATTTTTTTAGACAAATGTACCCAGATTGCATTCCCCACTTGTACATTTGGAGGCAGCCAAGTTCAAATGAGAACTCCTTATTTCTTTTAAATAATTTTGACTAAATTATCCATAGTCCAATGATTCAAATCAAATTGTGTGTCTGCCTACAGAAGTAATTTACAACTGATTATTTACATACTATTCCTTTGTGAAAAGGGCCCATTTTCCTTCAGAATGGCTGTAAAGGATTCTGGGGACAAAAGCATATTGATGGTAGTGGTTACCACCTTGGCTCCTATTACACAATTTGTTTGACTACCAGGGTTCCACCAAGCAAGACTGCACTAAGTTGTACTGCCATAACCAGGCTTTATCAAACAAGCATTTTTTCCTCCTTATTTAATATTACATCCTTTTATTACACCAACCTACTTAATCCCTTCAGAACTCTAAAATTTTTAACATTCTGCATAAGTGAACCATTTAACTCCTAACTCTCTTTCCTTAATTCACTTATCTCCCAGAAAGAAAAGGAGTACTTGTGGCACCTTAGAGACTAACCAATTTATTTGAGCCTAAGCTTTCATGAGATGATTCGCATCCGATGAAGTGAGCTGTAGCTCACGAAAGCTTAGGCTCAAATAAATTGGTTAGTCTCTAAGGTGCCACAAGTACTCCCTTTCTTTTTGCGAATACAGACTAACACGGCTGCTACTCTGAAACTTATCTCCCAGAGTGACACATTTCTCAGCAGATTTTTCTCCGTAGCTCTGATCTTATCTTTGTTTTTTGCACTCATTCTTTAGCTACAATTACTGTTCTCTCCAGGCGTCTTATTCTTTAAAATTTCAGTGGCATTCAACAGACCTTTTCAGTGCTGTACCAAGCATTGTTACATAGGTATTCACAATACGTCCCTCTATTCCCTTGAATTTCTCTTTAGTGGAGAACAATATGGTTTATATCTCTTTCTTGCATTTTTTGTCTAATACTATTTGCTGGAGTCCCTTTTCCATCCGGTTCTAATCTCCCCCTATCACTTCCCTATGGAGTCCAAAGGATCCTCCTTTAGATCTAACCCATTCCTCCAGTGCCCTGGAAACCTCCTCAAATTTAAACCCTTCCAACACCATTGCTAAACTGGTGGGTTGCAATCCTTGATAATAAAGTTACACATATAATCAGCTATACATTACCTGCTCCAGACGAATGAATCTGAGTCACGATACCACTACGTTGAGATTCTCCCCAAGACCGCTTTCCACTTGGCTTCCCAAAAAACTCAGTTCAACTCCAGGTCTCCTCACTCAGCTATTTTAATTTGGCATACAGCAAAGCTACGCTGAGTTGATCAGACTCAAGCGTACAGGGTGGATATAGGGTGTATCACACATCCAAACTTACACAGAAAACCTCTTCCTTTATATATATTTACACATTGTATTGCATTTATTGTAAATTGCATCACACATTTTGGGATTGGCTTGGTTACTTTGTGTGAACCAATCCCTGTACAGCATGCTCTGTTCATATAGAACCTGATCTTTACGTGGCAGGTTTCTCTTGTCCATTGTTCCAAGCACTGGGTGTTCCTGCTGATCTGAGCTAGCACAGCATCCTGACTCCAGCATACTGCTTGTTACATCGCTATTTACAACTTAATCTTCCATCACCTTCCCAATCATGCTCACTAAGAAATGAGGCCAGTTACTTATGTTCAGGTAGGCCTACATTTGGCCCCTTTCAAGATTCAGCTCTGCTTCAAAGCAAAGTGTCCTCAACATTAACAAATGTTAATAAGATGTTACTCTTACTATCTTGAACGTAAAAAGGCCAAAGTCCCCAGAAATGTCCTCCATTTGTGTACATGCAAAATATTTTCATGATGTTTTCAAGCATTATCATCTGCAAGCAGGTCTGTAAAAATGCGTTTTGTGAGAGCAAGTTCTAACTTCTGCAAAAGTCATCCAAGATAGATTAGGTATAAAAGATTTATGCATGATTTGCTATAGGAGAAGCAGCTGAGAGAGGATGAAAGCACCTGCCATACAAGGAGGATTTCTGAACTAGCCTGTGAAAAGGAGAAAGAACGACAACTTGAGATGGAGCTCACTTACCTGAACAGACTATTGCAGGATGAAAGACAGAAGGTTCTTACTGCACAAGAGCAGGTATTACATATTTGTTTTGAGTTTTTCAAATGAATTGCATTAAATACAATGCTAATCCAATGGCATCTGAACACCTTTAAAGAGCTGGAGTTCAAGTAAAAGATTAATTTCCTCCCTTGTTAGATTTCTGATTAATATTTTCAATGAAAATTCTGAGCTCAAAAAGGAGCTTAAAAAAAATCAAAACCTGACCTATGTAATTGGTAACAGGTTGCCAGTTTAGGGTTACATTGCATTAAAATAGCTCTTATATAGTGTTAGAATGGATGACGGCGTTGTATAGAGCTCACGTTGGAAATATCTAGACTCCCAAGCACAAAAGTTCAAATTCCAACAAAGCTGACTCAGTCCCTTAGCCTTCCAAAGTAGATAATCTACATGCACATTCTGTAAATACTTTGGGATCTTTTGGTATGAAAGGAAGTTGTATAAGTTCAAGATATACAAAATTTCATTTGCAATGTGCAGTGCAACTGTACTAAAAAAAATATATGACCATATGGACTATGAAAAACACTACAGCCCAACTGTTTCAGAGAGCTGTTCCAAAACAGTATTCAAACCAAAAATTTCATCAAGTGAGGTATTTTTTTGGTTTGCCATTCTGAGCTCTGTGAATTAATTTGGCACTCAAAAGTATTCATTGAATAATTTTCAGAACAACCTGCAACTTGTCCCCTGAAAGTTAAGTCCAAAAACTGTCTCTTGAGCTATTCACTAGTATTTGCTAGGAGTGATTGTAACAATCTTGATACAAATGAGAAACCAAGACAAATATTTTCATGAATAGCAGCAATGTTCTCAAGTTAAGAGCAAGTCAAATAAGAGCAATATATGCTCAAAAATATTTACAAGTCTGTCTTCAGTTATTTGACTAACTAGATTAATCTAATCATATTTGCATGCTCATTAGTATAAGTTTTGCCACGATCAGCTCAGTTTGAATATTACGGAGCTGATTTTCATAATTGCACCTGCACAAATTAGTATGCTGTTGCCTTCAGTTACTGCAACTGGATACAAATCAGAACTCACGGTGCATGCAAACATCTTTATTTGCACATGTAATCATACTAATGTAGGAATTAGACATTTGTGTACAATTCTAAGAGTCATTTTGAAAATCATTTGAATTGCAGGTAAAGTCAAAGGTATAAGTTCTCCCACACATGGAAAAAAAAATAAATAAAAAAAGACATTCACAAACAGCACAGAAACACGAAGACATCATATAAAACTCTCAATTTTTGTGGGGAAATTATTAAATAAGGCACTATGTCTAACTTCTGACAATTCTGTTGTCTATCCAGCACCTTTAAATAGCTTATTTTATAAATCTGAATTAAAAAAACCCCTAGGTAATGCAAAGGTGACTGGACAGTACAAGATAGCACTCTCATCTCCCTAAAAAAGGAAGCTTATTTGTTGAGCATAGACCAGTGGCTCTCAACCAGGGGTCTGGGGACCCCTGGGGGGCTGGGAGCAGGTTTCAGGGGGGCCACCAAGCAGGGCCACTGTTAGACTCGCTGGGGCCCAGGGCAGAAAGCTGAAGTCCCACGGCATGGGGCTGAAGCCCAGGGCCCTGAGCCCTTCCACCTGGGACTGAAGACAAAACTTGAGAAACTTAGCTCCCTGGTGGCCCCTGTGGCATGGGGCCCCAGGCAATTGCCCTGCTTGCTACCCCCTAATGCCGGCCCTGGCTTTTATATGCAGAAAATTAGTTGTGGCACAGGTGGGCCATGGAGTTTTTAATAGCATGTTGGGGGGGCCTCAGAAAGAAAAAGGTCGAGACCCCTGGCATAGACAGTGTTCTTAGGCCTGTAAAAAACAAATGAACATTGCCCCACTGCATTTACACTTTAGGACAGGCAAAAATTCCCTGGGAGACCTCGAGAAGATTCTTTCAGGGAAATTTTTTGGTATATGGCAATAATGAGTGGGTAATGCATTTTCACTGGCTGTTGACTTTCTACCACATAAGTTTTAAATTCTTGCATTGATTGTAGCTGGTCATTACATTATTCTGAATGAAAAATGTTATGACTGCCTCTACCCTCCTACTAAAGAGGGTGACTGCCATCTTTAAATTAGATTGCTGAGCAATCTGAAAGCACAGGAAATGAAATATCAGTTTGTTAGAGCTTCTACAATGCTTTGGAAATTTAAATGCAAAGTCAGTCCATTCATTGTACCAATAGGTACTACGTCTCCAGCAAGGAAGGAAATCTGTAAATCTAAATGGACAGTCACTTCAGAGCCAGCAAAAAGATTTAGAAAGGAGATGGTCAAGAGCTCAACTGGAAAATTCGAAACTGCGAACAGAAAAAACTCATTTAGTAGAACATATTTCTCAGTTACATAAACAGGTAAATAAATTCATGCTCTTAAAAAAAAAGTGGTAGGAATATTACCCTACAAGTGGGTCACCCTTCTTCATAATGATGCTATAGAAAAAATATGAAGTGGTAATTTAAAACCACATTTAGTTACAGACAGCCCAAATTCTCTTTTCTAGGCTTATGTCAAGGTAAGTGAAATAACTCCGAGCATTTTTTATTTACGCTGGTGTAAATCTGGAGTATCGAGTCCAGGGCCTCTTATTGTAAGCAATGCAGGTAGCAACACCTGTAGTTACAAGATAGCCTGGAGCTTTCCATAAGACCCTTTTCAGAGTAGCAGCCGTGTTAGTCTGTATTTGCAAAAAGAAAAGGAGTACTTGTGGCACCTTAGAGACTAACAAATTTATTTGAGCATGAGCTTTCGTGAGCTACAGCTCACTTCATCGGATGCATAAGACCCTGTTTTCAGTTGCTTATAATTTCACCAAACTAACATTGTGGGTTTTCCGATGGTGGCTACTGAAGCTGAATTTTGGGGGGGAAAGTTTCAGCCAAACCAGCCCAAATGCTTTTCTGAATTAGGTTGGGGAAACACTGCTGTAAAAATTTAAACATGGGAAAAACAATTGTTTAGTTGAGACGCTCTAGTGCGTCCATGCTTTGCAGTAGAGACATGCAACTTGGCAAGGGCTGTGTGTCACACCTATCAGGGATGTACCTGAAATGTTTTGAAGACTGTCTATAAAGTTTAAATAAGGTTAGTTGTTCCTTGTGATAACAGGACACCTGTTCTCGTTTGAACCAAGCCACTAACCAAAGCCAAAAATCAGATTTGTAAAGGCAACGTTAGCCCTTATGGTTGCTGGGGTGTCAGTCTGTCACAACACGTACACTATGCAGCGTACCAACAGTAATTGCCATTATCAAATCAGACCAGTGGTTAGTCTAGTCCAGTCTTTTTTCTCCAGCTTTGAGATACTTCAGAAAGTGCAAGAAATCCAAGAAAGAAAGTCTGCTTCTAACAGGATTTATGGTTCACAGATTTACTGATACGCAAGGCTCTAGTTTTCATATTTAACATATGTTCCATGCCCTTTTACCTCATTCAAAATAAAGATCAAATTCAAGGAAGAATCAGGGCAAAGTGATACCTTTTATTGTGTAGTTCTGTGCAGAACTCTTACTTGCCATTGGAGTGTTGTCTTACTCTATATCTTATTTACATAAGCATGTAAACCAAAAGGCCAATATACAAAATAAGGGATCTATTATAGATACGTCCTTTTCAGCAGCTTGAAAGGAAAGATTACTCAAAGTTTGACACAAGTAGGGTTAAGTGTTATGGCTTAGATGATGTAACTTTAGGAACCAGTGACATTTACACTAGTTCAGTTTATGTATTGTTGTAAATGAAATTTCACCCTAGAAAAAAGTTTTAGGGCAAAGTGCCTTACTAGGCCTTAAATTATATTCTACAGAATTAAATGCTAATGTCTTTTTCTTTTCAAATTACCTAGATTTCGGAGAAAGAAGATGAAATCCGTCGCATGCATGGACATGTTAGTACTATGTCCTATGACCTGAATAGTCTGAAATCTCAAGTGGAAACAGAGCATAGCTTGCAGAGAGAAAGATGGAAAGAGTTCTCCAATATTCTAACAGCATACAAGTCACCTGCTAAATAAGCTCTATTTCGGGAAGGAGTTACTGAAAGTGAGCTAACCTAATAATTTTAAAAATGAAATGGACACTAACAATTAGTTTCTTAAATTCCCATTGTAAAAAAGAGCATGTCCTGAGGCACCTAAATAAAGCATACTGCTCTTCAAGAATAGTATTCTGCATTTCTACACAACAAATGAAACTAGATCCTATCAGAATCACTTGGAACCTAGGGAGATGGGCTAAGCACCCTGAGTGGAGGCAGCATGCTCAGCCCTTGCGAAGCTGGCTTCAAATTAATTAAAAAGCAACCCGTTTGGCCACTTCAAGGAGTGGCTTTTGTGTAATTGCAAAGGTAGCCCCATGCAGTCATCACTCCTGTCCTAACCAAGGTGGCAGGCTCTGTCACGAGCAGTCAAGGCTGATTCCCCACTCTGGCACTCCGAGTGCAGAAGGTGGGGGCCCGCAAGGATTCTAAAAATTAATACTGGCCATTCCAGGCTTGTATTAAACTCCCAAGGTTACAGCTTCTCTCTGACCTTGGATGGGTAGATGCTGCCACCACCCAAATGCAAAACCCCTAGGAACCCAGGAAGCTGCACTTGGGAATTCCTTCCTGTGGGGTGCCCTCAAGCCCTTTTACCCCCCTCTGGGGAAGAATGGAGAAAGAAAACAAAGGAAATGAATTAGCTGGGGGTAACAGCTAAACAACATATGCACAAACTTCTTAGGACTCCAAAAATCCAATCCTGTTCTTAAAAAATTTTATTAAAAACAAAAAGAAAGAAAATACATCTGGAACTTAGACTTTTGCTAGATTAAAAAATAACCCATTTACAAAAATTAAATATCAGGAATAAACTTCTGAGGTCCAGCTTAAAGGTTACACGCAAAACAAAAAGCATTTAGGGTTAGCACAGAGGAGTCCACAATCCAATAACAAAAAAACAGAAATAAACCTAATTGCATCTTTCTAAACATTCCTGATCTACTTACATATCGGGGTTGTTAAATAAGTAGTTCTAGATAGGATGTGATGATTTTCATATCTGGCCTTCAGCTTCTCACAGCATAACTGCACCCTGTTCCCCTCTTTCCTGGAGAACAGCAGGACACAAAAGGAAAGCTTCCCCCTCACCCCCCATTTTAAAACGTTCTAGCCTTCCCATTGGCTCTTTTGGTCAGGTGCCCACTCCCTTCCTTTTACCTGCACTTTAACCCTTTACAGGTAAAGCAAGTAGAGAACAGCTACCAAGAGGGACTTTATAGCTAACTGGCTAGCTGGGTGTCCATAAAAGGGAGCTCCCCCCCCGCCCTTCATTTATCACACAAGCCCTTGAAGGGACAAACATGCTTCCTGAATTTAACACCAACAGTAATGGATTTTCCATTTAATTTTTAACTATATGAAGAGAGCGCTTTAAAAAGTAATTGTTTAAATGAATGTTCTTGCCACACAAACACCCTCTACCAAAAGCAAATGCATCAATACCTATAAAACTATACTATATTTCTGAAGTTCATTGTAGCAACCTTCTTGAAAGCCTGAGAAAGAGACAGTTACCTTTTCCGTAACTGATGTTCTTTGAGATGTGTTGCTCATGTCTATTCCACAATAGGTGTGCTTGCTCGCCATGTGCACTAGTGTTGGAAGTTTTTCCCCTAGCAGTACCCGTGGGGGGGAGCTCCACCCGTGACTCCTGGAGTGGCGCCTACCTGGCACGGTGTAAGGGGAGCTGCATGCCCCCCCCAACCTCAGTTCCTTCTTTCCAGACAACTCTGACAGAGGGGGAAGGGGGGCGGGATGTGGAATAGACATGAGCAACACATCTCGAAGAACACCAGTTACGGAAAAGGTAACTGTCTTTTCTTCTTCTTCGAGTGATTGCTCATGTGTATTCCGCAATAGGCGATTCCAAGCTATATCTGTTGGAGATGGGTAGGAGTTCACAAGTTCCCAGGACGGGGGACAGCCCTGCCGAACCTGGCGTCATCCCTGATTAGGGAGACGATTGCATAGTGCGAGGTGAACGTGTGAACCGAAGACCACGTGGCGGCTCTACAAATGTCCTGGATGGGGATGTGGGCCACGAAGGCAGCCACCAAGGCCTGCGCCCAAGTCGAGTGTGCCCTCACAATGGGTGGCAGGGGGACACCTGTCAGCTCATAGCTGGAGCGGATGCACAAAGCGATCTGATTGGAAAGCCGCTGAGTGGAAATCGGCAGACCCCTCACGCGCTCAGCCAAGGCGACGAATAGTTGCGAAGACTTTCTGAACGGCTTGGTCCACTCCAGGTAGAAAGCCAGAGCCCACCACACATCGAGCGTGTGGAGACAGTGCTCCTCACTGGACGCATGAGGCTCGAGGCAGAGGACAGGTAGAAAAGTGTCCTGACATGTGGTAGACGGAGACCACCTTCGGGAGGAACGCAGGGAGTGGATGGAGCTGGACCGTGTCCATATGAGAGACCACGTACGGCGGCTGAGAGGTCAAGGCCCTGAGCTCCAAGACTCACCTGGCCAACGTGATTACAACCCGGAAGGCCACCTTCCACGAGAGGTGAGACCAGGAGCACGTGGCCAGTGGTTCAAATGGGGGCCCCATGAGATGAGCCAACACCACATTTAGGTCCCACTGAGTGACCAGGGGGTCTAGAATATGGAAAAAGATGGTCCAGACCCTTAAGGAACTGGCCAGTCATAGCATGGGAAAATACAGTGTGCCTTCGTACTGGCGGATGGAAGGCCAATATGGCTGCCAGGTGCACCTTGGCTGATGAGGGCACCAGGCCCTGGGCCCTCAGGTGGAGGAGGTAATCAAGGATAAGCTGGATCGAGGTGGCCATCGGGGAGACACCCTGGTCCACTGCCCACCTAGAGAACCAGGATCACTTCACCAAATAAGCGCGGCGAGTGGAGGGCCATCTACTTTCGAGGAGGACATGCTGAACCTATTCCGAGTATGTCCTTTCCTCTCCACCTAACCACTGAGCAGCCATGCCATGAGATGAAGCACCGCTAGGTTGGGATGGAGGAGGCGGCCCTGGTCCTGAGAGAGAGCAGGCCCGGGAGGAGCGGCAATGGCCATGGTGAAGCTACCACCAGGCCCATGAGGGTCCCGTACGAATGCTGCCTCGGCCACGCTTGTCCGTCTTTATCTTCTCCAGGACCCTGCTGATTAGAGGGAATGGGGGAAAGGCATAGAGAAGCCAGTCTGACCAGGACAGGAGAAAGGTATTGAGATAGCGCCCCTCCTTAGGCCCCCCCCCGGAGCAGAACCGGGGGCATCGCTGGTTCTGCCGAGTCGTGAATAGGTCTACCTGGGGAGTTTCCCACCTTCAGAAGAGCCAATGGGCCACTTCCACGTGGAGGGGCCACTCGTGTTGCAAGGAAAAGTCCCTGCTCAAGCGATTTGCCCTCTCGTTCCAGGTGCCCAGTAGGTGGAAGGTCTTCAGGTGGATGTCATGGGCTATACAGAAGTCCCCCAGCCTAAGGGCTTTGTGGCAGAGGGCAGAGGATCGGGCCCCGCCTTGCCTGTTGATATAGAACATCGAGACCGTGTTGTCTATGAGGACCCGGACTACCTTGCCCTCCAGGTGCGAACAAAAGGCCATGCACGCCAGCCACACCGCCCTGAGCTCCTTGATATTTATATGTAGGGTCAGGTCTTGAGCCTACCACAGGCCTAGGATCTGAAAGTTCCCCACATGGGACCCCCAAGCCAGGTCCGATGCATCAGACACCAGCTCCAATGATGGGGCCCTGTCCCTGAACGGGACTCCTTGGAGCATGTTGTTGGGCGGACCACCACCGTAGGGAGGTGATCACAGAGTCCAGCACGGTGAGGAACTTGTCCATCCTGTCCATGGCCTGGGAGAACTTCGAGGCCAACCAGAGCTGGAGGGGCCTCATCCTGAGTCTGGCATGACCCACCATGTAAGTGCACGCCGACATGTGACCCAAGAGATGCAGGCAAACGCTGGCTGTTGACATCGGGAACCTTGTGACCGAGTCGATGAGACATTTCAGGGTCTCAAATCTGTCTGGCGAGAGAGAGGCCCTGGCCGACACTGCGTCCAGGAGCGCCCCGATAAACTCTATGCATTGGACCGGGACTAACGTGGACTTGGTGTTGGCAGGAGGAGCATCACATGATCCCTCACCTGCGACTGGGAGGTGCCCTTGACCTTCCAATCGTCCAGATAGGGAAATATCTGGACCCCCCGCAGTCTGAAGTAGGCTGCTACCACCAACATTTATGAACACCCTGAGGGCAGTGGAGAGGCCAAACGGGAGGACTGTGAATTGGTAATGATTCTGTCCCACCACGAAACGGAAGATGTGGAAGTACGAATCCTGTAGATCGAGGACAGCATACCAGTCCCTGGGATCCAGGGAGAGGATGATGGAGGCCAGGGAGACCATGTGGAACTTGAGCTTCACAATGTACTGGTTCAGACCTCAGAGGGCCAGGATGGGCCCGAGCCTCCCCTTGGCCTTCGGGATAAGGAAATAATGGGAGTAATATCCCTTGCCTATGAACTCCTCGGGCACCGCCTCTACTGCTCCTAGTCCTAGGAGCTGCTCCACCTCCTGCTTGAGCAGAGCTTCGTGTGAGGGGTCTGCCAAGAGGGACATGGGCGGGAGGTGGTTGGGTGGGGAGGAAGTAAACTGGAAGATGTAACCGCGGGAAATGGTGTTGAGGACCCATCGATTTGAGGTTAGCTGCAACCGTTCTGGGAGGAAAGCACACAACCGGTTGGAGAAGGGAAGCTTTATTGGGGATGGATCCCTGATGAGGACTGGTGGGGTGCCCCCAAGCATCCCGTCGAAAGCGCCTTTTCCCTGCCTGCTTGCCCTTGGAGGACCCAGGCTGGGGGGCAGACCGAGAGTGTCTCTGAGGGCATCTCAGAGTACCACTGCTTCCTATGGGCAGCTTTGTACTTCAGGAGAGTGGCCTGGGCGGGAGCCTGCTGTTGCTTGAACTTAAGTTTTGCCGGAGCCAGGACATAGAGGCCCAGAGTCTGGAGGGTCGTGCGGGAGTGTTTCATATCATGCAGCCTTGAATCTGTTTCCTCCGCAAACAAAGCTTTCCTATCAAACGGGAGATCCTGCATGGAAGACTGTGCCTCGCTGGACAGCCCAGACAGCAGGAGCTGTGACACCCGTC